TATTCAATCTGTATGCTGAGCAAATGATCTGAGAAGATGGACTATATGAAGAAGAGTGGCATCAGGATTGGAGAAAGAATCATTAAAAACTTGCGATATGCAGATGACACAACTTTGCTTGCTGAAAATGAAGATGACTCGAAGTACTTACTGATGAAGATTAAAGACTACAGTCTGCAGTATGCATTACATTTCAACATAAAGAAAATAAATATCCTTAAAACTAGACCAATAAGCATGATCACAATTAATGGAAAAAAGACTGAAGTTGTCAAAGATTTCATATTACTTAGAAGCACAATTAATACCAATGGAAGCAGCAGTCAAGAAACTAGATGTCACATTGTACTGGGAAAAGCTGCTGCAAAAGACCTCTTTAAAGTGTTGAGAGCAAAGATGTCCCTTTGAGGACTAAGGTGCACCTGACCCAAGCCATGGTGTTTTCAATTGCCTCACATGCATGTGAAAGCTGGACAATGAATAATGAAGACGAAGAAGAGTTGGTACTTTTGAGTTGTGGCGTTGGCAAAGAATACCGAAAGTACCATGGACTGCCAGAAGAACTAACAAATCTGTCCTGGAAGAAGTGCAGCTGGAATGCTCCTTGGAAGCAAGAATGACTAGACTTTGTCTCACCTACTTTGGTCATGTGCTCTAAAGAGACCATTCCCTAGAGAAGGATATCATGCTTGGTAACGTGGATGGTCAGCAAAAAAAAAAAGGGAAAACTGTCAACAAGATGGAATGACTCAGTGGCTGCAATGATGGGCTCAAGTATATCAAGGGTTGTGAGTTTGGCACAGGATCAAGCAGTGTTTCATTCTGTTATACAGAGGGTTGCTATGAGTCAGAGCCAACTGGCCGGCACCTAACAACAGCAATATGTACATATATGTATATGTTTAGAAAAATAAAATCATGCTCTACATATGGTTGCTTTAGTTACCTAGTGCTGCTCTAGCAGAAGATAACCACAAATGGGATGACTTTAACAGAGAGGAGTTTATTCTCTTACAATTTTTGGAGGCTAGAAGTCTGAGTTTAAAGTGCGAGGCTCTAGGGGCTGGGTGAAAGCCCCTCAACCTTGGGCTTCAGCTTTGCTCCCACCACTGAATCTCGAGGCTTTTCTTCACTCAGGCAACTGCTGGCTGCTGAGGCTGACAAACCTGAGGTTGACAAGTAAAAAGGCACAGTCCCAATATATCACCAAACAACATGGCAGGCCACTAATTCAAGTCCAGGTAAAGTCCCAAGATTGGCAGAGCATGGCAGGCTGCTGAACAACAACTTGGCTACTTGTGGGGTCCAAGTGTGCCAAAAAGCTGGAGACCTTCCTCAAAGTTGTTTCCTATATACTGGAAGCAGACCACATCCCTAAAGCAGCTACTCGGCTGCTCTAATAGATTCCACCATGGAATTAGTTACCAATCTCATCATGGGGAATAACTATACCCAGCCACTCAACCAGGCCGTGCCAAGTTGATACACATTTTTAACTACCACAATGGTATAAAACTCTTCTTTCTTCTTAACATGATACCATGGGTATCTCTCTAAGTTATTCTTTTTTATAGTCACATAGTATCCTTTGCTATAAAATTCTGAAATTTATAATTCTATCTTTTTTAATGATTTCTTCTATTACTTCTAAGTTTAGAATATTTTTCTCTTTCCAGAAATGTGATAAATATTTAGAACTATTTTTTTCTGGCTTTTGTATGGATTTATGTCTTATATTTATCTTTTAAAAATTTTTTTGAATGTGATGTATTTACATTAAAATAATGTTAACTTTTAATATATATGCTACTCAATCTCATTTCTGTAGGGATGAAAGAGACCTTGAAATGTAGTCTCAAAAATTAATAGGAAGGAGGGTTAGATGAAATTATTTCCAAGGTACTTTTCAACTGCAACATACTATAGTTAGCAATAATGACTAAGCAGATATTCTCATCTCTGTCACAGAATATTACTCCACTGTTGCTGCTTATGCGGAGCTCTGGTAGTGTAGTGGTTAAAGCAATGGGCTGCCAACCAAAAGGTTGGTGGTTCAAATCCACCAGCAACTCCATGAGATAAAGATGAAGCAGTCTGCTTCCGTAAAGATTTACAGCTTGGAAACCCTATGGGGGTCGTTATGAGTCAGAACCATCTTTATGACAGTGGGTTTGGTTTTGGGGTTTGGTTGCTAGTTATAGGTTTTTGTTTTCTTTTTTAAGTAAAAAAATTATTGTGAAGTGGAAGAAAGTAAGGCTTTTGACATAGAAACTTCTACCATCCAAACAGTACTTCTAAACAGTGGTGTCACTGGGGTTGTTGTCACCAAGTACAGTAACTCATGGTGTCATTCCCACCATGGACCTATCTCCCCCTGTACCAGATCATACAGAATCCTTAGCAAGGTTTATTATCAATTTTAATCATAGGATAATATGTGATAATTATAGTTGTAAAGTACTTAAATGTAAAATTTCTTATATGAATAGTAACAAACAACAGAATTGTTTTGTAAAATCTTTCTACATTTAATTACAACATTATTAGTTACTGACTAGAAGCCTTTTTTCATTTTTCTCCTTTTCCTTTATTACTTTATTCTTAAAAAAGTTATTGATATAGGTTCACAAATACTAATTACCACAATATTGTAGCTATAATACCAGAAAATTTGACAAAGTCAGAGATTACAAAAACATGAGCAACAATGAAAGCAACAGCATTTGTTTCTAGTGCATGCAAATGAAACCATGTGATTTGAAGTGTCATTGGATTTGGGTAATAATGACAGGTCTGACCAGAGTGCACTAGAAGGTTCAAAAAGTAAATTATCATAGAGTTTTAGCCTTGTAGATATATTGATATATGTAAATTGGGCTTACAAAAACTGTTTAAGTTATTATAGCTAACTAGAGAGATATTTTAATAAGTAATAATATATTTCTGCTGAAATACTGAACAAAAATTTTATAGACAGTCCTTTGTTGTTACCCTCTCTGACAGTATCACCTGGTGCTGTCTGCATCCCTTACTTATGCCACTGGCTTAGAAATTATGGACTCATTATTGAGTTTCTAGAAACATATTTGTTTTTGAGGAAATGAACCTTTCCTGACGATGACTGATTTTCTTAAAATTTTCATGTGTAATATTTTGAAAGAAGCCATGTTGATAAATGGGTAAATATCAGAAATACCAGATTGAGAGATAGTGTGGCCAGATCTAAGCTTTGTGAGGGCAGAGATTTTTGTCTGGTTTGTGCACTGCTTCCCTTAGTGCTGAGGGTAATGTGTGGTATATCAGGGATGTTCAATAAATACTTGGTGAATGAATGAATGAATGCTAAATGTTAAGTGGCCTTGGGCAAATAACTCACATTTCAGAATCTCAGGTGTGACCCCAGGATGGTCAAGTTTCCCCCGTTTACAAAATGAAGGTAACAATATGATATGTGTCCACTGGGAATTATTTGGTTGCTTTGTTTTGAACAGTCTTCCACCAAGGAATGGCATTTATGAAGAAGGGAAAAAAGAACGGCTAAGAACGGCTAAGAACAGCTGGTGGCATAGTGCCTAAGGCATTTGACTGCTAACCAGAAGGCTAGAGGTTCAAACCCACCAGCCATTCCTCAGAAGGAAGGTTGGGCAATCTACTTCCATAGTGATACCACCTCGGAAACCCAAGGAGGGGTCCTTATGAGTTGGATCTGACTTAATGGCAGTGAATAAGGGATAGGGATGTTATACAGAGTCATAATTCAGAGAATATATGGAACTGGAATTTAGTATTTATGTGAAAGAAACAAATGTATTCATAAAGACTATGAGACAAGAATGCTTAGAATTTAGGCAGAAGACTTTCAAATTCTCCAGGCAGCCTTTTCATGTCAGGACAGGGAAGTCAGGGTCAGATATAAAGTGAATTGCCCAGTGCACACAGCTGGTGATGGCTAGTGGGCACTAGTGCCCAAGTCTCATAACACCCAGTTCTGGGCTATTTCCATTAAATAGATACATGTAAAACCAAACCTCACTGATAATTTGTGAGATGGAAAAGTACAATTGAATGTACTCTAATTAAGTGGCAGGAGTGAAGAGCGTGGTAAAGCAAAAAAGCTAGAAAACCCATTTTAACAAACACTATTGGGAAGCATCAGAGAGCAAAGTGTAATTAGCAATATAAAAAGACTATAATCAGAGATAGAAGTGATAGTTGGCTGAAGCTAAGAAATCCATTAGCTTTTAGTGTACTTTAAAATCCCATTTTGCTACATCAAAATTACTAAAGAAGTACAGACTTTCTTCTGTTTTCAAATTCAATAGCAATCCTACTTTTTGGTTTGTATTTCTGATTATCTCACTGACTCTTTAGAAAATCTCCTCCTCCTTATCCAGAACCAATTTTGCCTGGAAAAAACAGTCTCTGTGAGATGGTGCTGTCATACTTACTAGGGGAACCTCTTTGTACTTTTAGTCATTTATTCCATTCCATTCACTCATTCATCAAATTTTTTATTGGACAACTACTGTCTACAAGGTTCTGAGGCTATCAATTTTAATTAGACACCATTTCTGGTCTTGAAATAGTAATGGTGAAACGATAATTGCACTGCAAATGGGATGTGTTTTAAGAAATTGAAACTAACACTAAGAGGAGTCCCTGGGTGGTGCAAATGGTTAACACACTCAGCTGATAACTGAAAGGTTTGAAGTTTGAGTCCACCCAGGGGAGCCTTGAAAGAAAGGCCTGGCAATCTGCTTCTAAAAATCAGCCACTGAAAACCCTGTTGAGCACAGTTTTGCTCTGACACACATGGAATTGCCATGCATTGGAGTGGACTCAATAGCCACTGGTAATAGGAAAAAAGAAGACAGAGGTTCACAGAGGAAGGACTGACAGAGCAGTATCTTGAAGGAAATGAAATCTTTTTCTAGGTACATGGGGAGCAAGGCAGGCAGAGTGGATGGAAGGAGCAGAGCATGGTTGTGAGGCTGGCTCACCTGAATCTGAATGTCCTTGGAATTGATCACGTCCACAATGCCCACCACATTGTCAAACACAAGGCCAAACTTCTTACAGTTGTCTAAGAAAACAACACAAAACAGAACAAACAATCTCCATTAAGTACCCTGCAGCATGTTTATCCAAAAAAAACCAAACCAAACTCACTGCAGTAGAGTTAGGAAGCATCAGAGAGCAAAGTGTAATTAGCAATATGTTGTTGTTGTTGTTATGTGCCGTCGAGTCAGCCCCGACTCATAGAGACCCCTCCTTGGGTTTCCGAGGCAGTATCACTACGGAAGTAGGATTGCCCAACCTTCCTTCCGAGGAGTGGCTGGTGGATTTGAACCGCCAGCCGTCTGGTTAGCAGGCAAGTGTCTTAGCCACTATGCTACCAGAGCTCCCAATTAGCAATATAAAAAGACTATAATCAGAGATATAGCGACCCCTCCTTAGGTTTCCGAGGTGGTATCTCTATGGAAGTAGATTGCATAGTCTTCCTTCCGGGGACTGCCTGGTGGGTTTGAACTGCCGTCCTTCTGGTTAGCAGTCAAATGCATTAGGCACTATGCCATGTTTATAGAATATCTTATCCTATTAAGGACAGGGACATAGTTCTGCCTTACCAATTATTATGGAATTTATTTTTCCTTTTATCTGTAGAGTAGACTTGTCACATTTGAAAATGTAAGCCACTTGTTTCAGTTCAGTGGCCGTAATCACAAGGTCATTCCTGTCTTCTTGGTATTCCTAAAATTGAAACACATGCAAACTATGAGAATATATAGATAGATTGAATTCATTGCATACTGAAATTACTATGTATTATGGAGTGCAGCATAAATTATAAGTTTTCAGTATATCCTTTCTTGCAGAACCATTTTCTTACAGACTAAACCACAGTTCTTAGCATATCATTGTAAAGATAGGAACAGATCAAATCACTGCTTGGTAGGAGATCAGTGTCAACTTTCCAACAGATAAATTTCAGGAGCCCTGGCTAATGGGTGGGACTGGGTGGGGATATGAGAGCTTTTGGTTGAGGCACTGAGGCTGAGTCTGGACTTCATGATGCTGCAGCACAATCTTCTCTGTCTAGTAAGAGTTGGGCAAATAGGTTGGTGAAGTATCACACAGGGGTCTAAGCATTATGAATTTTAAGGCCACTTCTAGGGACTTGGGAGTCCCTGGGTGGTACAAAAAGTAATGTATTCAGTTGCTAACTGAAAAGCTGGAAGTCTGAGGCCACCCAGAGGCACCTGAGAAGACAGCCAGATGAAAAATCAGCCAGTGAAAGCTTGACAGAGCACAGTTCTAGTCTGACACACAGGGGGTTGACAGAGTTAGAATCAACTCAACAACAATACAACCTTGGTCTTTAATCTTTAGGGAAGACCCTGGCTGGGGAGGAGGCACCACCTTTCATCTCCATTCAAAGTGCCTTTGTGCGCTTCACACGATTTACCCTGAAATTGGTAGATGGCAGCAAAAGGATAAGATTATGTGTCTCCATCAGTGAGATACAATGAAACATCCTATAGCTGATCAGAATGGGGCACAGAATTCCCAGTCCCACATGTTAATGGGTTCTCTTGCTGCCTGGTGAACAGCTTGGGGAAGCATTCAGAAATGCTCTGCTTTCTATTCTACCTGGTGGCCTTCTGCCACTGCTATTTCACTATAAAATCCTTAAGATCCTAGTAAGTGGTTTACCAAGGTCTTGCTGTCAGTCCTTTCATTAGATTGCATCAGGAATAAAGATTAAAAGGCATTACTCACCACTCTCCATTTCTTTCCCTCCAATTCAAGCACAGGATCATGTCTCTGAGGAGGATGAGATTTGGAAGAAGTGGGACTTGGAGTGTGGCTTTTGGTTGGAGATCGAGTTTGTCCTCCTTGAGCCCGTAGGCTGGGATTTTTGTGTGTCATCTGGTCATCTGTGACATGCCGGAGCCCTAGAATGGGAACACAGAGATACATTTCTTTATATTTTATGCAGAGGGAAATGTCCCTAATTTCTTAGATCAACATGATTTAAGCAGCACGAGAATTTTTGATAATGATATTTTCATCAGAATCTAGTGCTTTCTCAAGGTTAAGATGTACAGAGACCAGTATAAATGTAGAGTTAATAGAAGTACTGGAGGTAATTTTTAATTTTGGGAACCTCTTTTCAAGGAGAGGAGCTCTGGTAGCATAGTGGCTAAAGCACTTGACTGCTAACCAGAAGGCTGGTGATTCAAACCCATCAGCCACTCCTCGGAAGGAAGGTTGGGCAATCCTACTTCCGTAGTGATACTGCCTCGGAAACCCAAGGTGGGGTCGCTATGAGTCGGGGCTGACTCGACGGCACATAACAACATAACAACAACAAAGATGATAGATGAAAACTCTACAAAAACAAACCACCTCATCAAAATGATCCCATAGTTTACTTATCTCATGGGTAAATTCTTTCCCAGACATAGCCTAAAAAGTTAGGACATCCTAGTAAGTATATATCAGAGAATGAGACTGATATTAGGGTTCCAAATCCAGTCTTCTCAGGTGATGCTCAGAGTCTTAGCTCTCAGCCCAGTACATAGGGACTGTTACATCATAACTCCTATTACATGTCCAAGGTGAAATATATGATCACATACTTTTGGCCACATGACTTTATTTTACAGAATGCATGTGGTTCTGATCCTGATATATTTTAAATGTTCTGTTGTTCTTGTTGCATGCCATTGAATCAAATATGAGCATTTAACCATTGTGCCACCAGGGTTCCTTAAATGTTCTATGACAAATATATATAAAACCAGTTGCCATCAAGTCGACCCTGGCTTGGAGTGATTCATGTGTATCAGAGTAGAACGGTGCTCCATAGTTGATTTTTCAGTGCTTGGCTGCTAACTGAAAGGTTAGCTGTTCGAAACCCACCAGCAACTCTGCAGGAGAAAAATGTGACAATCTACTTATATAAAGATTACAGCCTTGCAAACAAACCCTATGGGGCAGTTCTACTTTCCTATAGGGTTGCTAGGAGTCAGAATTGACTCAATGGCAAAGTTTGATACAGGGATATATATCATTGAACTACTGTTGTCCTCATGAGGAATGGTTAATTAAAAAATAAATATATAATTTGGACAAAAGTAGTGCAATGATATGATTCTTTGATAAGGGTGCTGCCTGGGGACAGGAGTGCTAATGTTTATAATTTTTGTTTCACTTGATCTTGACGCCTTAATTGTAGAAGATGGGCTGAGGTGGTGATGCAATACAGGGGCAGATTTAGAACCCAGTCTTTGAGCTCTTCTCTTTGTTCTACACAGCGGTTCACTGAGGCAGTCTGCCCAGAGATGAAGCACACCGTATGCCTCTGCCTTCGCAGCAGCAGTGCCCTGTGTGTTGGGGACAGGGATGGAATGATGTGGCATCAATGTGGGCTCTGGAAGATCTGGGTGCCTGGAAAGGGAGACAACCTTAACGTCCTGTTTTCTCACCATTTATAATTGCTTCTCCCTGGTTAAGCTGAGCAAATAAAGCTGAACGTGAAGGAGAGGACCCTTCTTTTCTGCCTTTATTGTCAAAAAGTGGAGGTGGTCCTGGAGGAGGTGGAGGAGGAGGGGGTGGAGGAAGGCCAGGCCCAGGGGAGAAGGCAGACAATGCTGATGCAGTTGATGCTACTGGACCCTGTAGGAGAGAGAAGACAGAAAATATTGTTTGCATTGAGATGGATGACCTGGTGACAACTAAGACTTTGCCACTGTCACTTATACCCTCTTGGCAATGGGGAAGTGGGCTCAAGACTCACAATTGGCTCCCAGAGGGCACACTTATGCATCATGGTCTGATTGAGAGGACCTGGGCCCGAAAGGGGGCTCTACCATGGGAACATGGATGAGGATGTAGCTATGCAGCCCTACATGTGGGCTTTGCATGTCCAGGAGTTACCCTGTCAACTCAGAGGCAAACAAAGCCATAGCACAAGTTCATGTTCAAAGCTCAGGATGTGAACGACAGTGGGCCTTGGCCAATTCTGGATCATAAGAAAAAAATGGTCCATTTAATAAGAGGATTAGCCTTTTTTGGACACTGGGAATTGCTACTACCCATGAGAGGGAAATCAGTCAAAAATATGCAATGGTTATTAGATGTTTTTGAATTTTATTTAAGCAGGCAAAGAGAGAGATATTGAAATCTTTTCTCTGGAACTCATTTTTCAAAAATACATATCTCTAATTAACCCCCAAATGAGGGCACTTGTGACCTGGATGCTTGTCAATCTTGGAGGTGACCAGTGTTCAGAACCATCCGATGGTTCTGGAGTCAATGCTGACTCTTAGTAGACCAACCAGAATCTGATATTTCCTGAGCAAGATTTGTGGTTATCTTTGTTTTCTCTGCTTTGCAAAATGCAACTCTTATTTTCAACATTAAGTCCTCATAATTCAACTGGCAGTAAAAGGTGGTAACAAAGGAAGGGATTAGTTTTGTTTTTTCTCTGCCAGTCTTTCTTTATTTTTTTTTAATCCTTGTGAAGTATTTCAAACATACAGAAAAGTATAGAAGAATATAGTAAACAAAGGAAATCATTTTAATGTTTTCAAAGGACCTCATAGATGATTGTTCTCTTAGAGCTTAAAACGAGTAGGACAAAAACACATATGCAACAGACTTGGGATAAATTCCATTCTACTTTTAACCCCAGAAGTAAAACTGTATACCTATGATAAGGACTTTTAGGCTAATTCACTAAAAATTAAACAAAAACCAGGAAGCTTAAAAATTGAGAATTATGGAAATGTGGCTCAGAGTCACATATTTTTAATACCAAATACAAATATTAGGTTTTTGAGGAAAAAACACATTATCTAGTGCTAACTATTAATGAGTAAGCATATCTTTACTTTCATCAACAACTCAGTATTACAGCGTATCAAAATTAGGGTGTTTTTGTCTGTAGTAGTTTTCTGTTGGGGGAAAAAAAGCCATGCTATTTTCAAAGTATTTATATAATCCCTATTAACTGCAGAATTACACTGAAAAGAAAAGATTCTCTTATTCAGAATGCATGTTTTAAAACTCAGGAGGCTGGGTGGAGGTCTTGTCTCCTGAAGATATAATTTGCAATGGCTTTTTGTTTCTAAGAAAGATCAGCCTGACTCCATAAGGATTCTTGGGTCAAGCTGAAAATGACTACACAGCTCTTGAGACTGACCAATATGTTCTTTTCAGTATCTTAAATGTTTTCTATTTTATTAAGAGGGTGAAATATGAGAATTTGCTTTGAGTAATAAAGAGAATATAATATAACTTCCATGCGTCAAACAATATTCTAGTCCTTAGCTTCAGAGGCCGAGAACCACGCACTATTACTTTTATTTATAAGCACGTAATTACTCATAGTGTAAGTGAAGAACCCCTTATCTGAAACACTGCAGTTCTGCACTCCTATTTTGTGGAAAGGGGAATCAACCCTGCTTCTAAATTCCAGCAGTTCCTTCGCTCTCAGATTCAGAGCCTCTCTCCAAGAACCATTAAAGAACACTGAAACCAATAATCCTTATATTCAACTTTTTGGAACTTTGATACATTCAGATGGTTGATCAAGGAATGCCAAACAAATGATTTACTGCAACAAATGTTGAAAATAAAAGCCAAAAAATAAGAGCACTCAGGGCTTGTTGAAACTCTGCCTCAGACTTATCCTTTGTATGCCCTGGCTCACTCTTGTGTCAGCCCCAGAGGGAGCACAATGCTGTATTTTGGTTTCCAAGGTTACATTGCAATTAGCATTCAGGGGCTTTACTGTACAGTGTGCTCGAAATCAAACTGATCAGACGTTCCTGAACTGGATCTCCGTGGGCTGCCCCTTGCAGTGTGTCTAATCTTTGCCTCTTTCTCCTCTTCTCTCTCTGTAGACTATTCTGTCACCTGAGACCAAAGCTTCTGCATTATCCTATGTGCCTGGCCATGAGGGATAGTCACTCCTGGAATCTCACTCTGTCTCCCCAAAACCAAGGGGAAAGAAAAGAAGCCAAAAAGTGTGGAAAGTCTGGTGTGTGCCAGGCACTGATTTTCTCTCACCTATTTCACATATATGTTTTATAAATGTAAAAAAAAAAAATTGCTGTGGTGAAATATATGTAGCAAAACATTTGCTATTTCAGCCATTTTTACACATACAATTCAGTGACATTGTGGTCCCTATATTGTGCAGCCATTACCATTAACCATTTTCAAATTTTGTCATCACCTCAAACAGAAACTCAGTACCCCTTAAGAAACACCACCCTGTATTTCATATACTAGGAGGATCACCCATCGTAGACAATTTTCAGTGAAGCTTCCAGTTAAACATGGATTAGGAAGAAAGAGCTGGTGATCTACTTCTGAAAATAACCCAACAAAAGTCCTATGGGTCACAACAGAAAACTGTCTGATATAATGCTGGAAGGTGAGCATACGGTGGTAGCAACAATGGACTGTGGTGTAGTAAATTCCACAGTGTTGCTCTTCTAGCCATAAGTCTTTGTAAACTCTGTGGTGGAATTTGCTGTGAGCAACTGAGTAGCTCCTGATTGTTAAAGTTATTCACCTGGGGTATTTCTGTTGGGAGCGACATGAAGTAATTTTCTGGGAAGTTTACTCTCTCTCAGGAGTGTAGAACTCTGATGTTGGGGTTGGTTGGTTTGGGCCACTCTGATAGGCTCAAAAGGAGCCCTCCTAGAAGCAGAAGGAATCCCTCACTGCCAGCTGAGAGACATGAGAAACATACACTGCTGAGAGAGACACTGAGAGCCACACACTGCTGGGAGAGAGACTGAGAGAGACTTTGGCTGAGAGATGGTGAGCTGAGAGAGACTAAGCATGTTCCTGAACTTGAATTGTAGCCTGTTGATTCCCTAATAAGCCCCATAATCTTTGAGTTCTGTGTGGCCACTGCAGCGAATTACTGAACCCGGTAGAGAGGTGGTGGGTGTTGTGGGAGGAATAGTTGGTGTCATGGTTGGTGAAAGGGCTGGAGGGAGGCAGCATGTCTGGCCTCACAGGAATAGGCCTTGGGCTACTGATGGTGATTCTGTCTTCCTCTTGTGGGGTTAGAGGAGGTCAGAAGATGTGACATCTTTGCTCCTTTAGCAGTTGGTGTCAGAAGTGGTGGGATTCGTTACAGTGGCTCCAGACTCACAGAAGCATGGGACTTTGTAAAAGAAAGAAGGAAGGGGTCTGGGAAGTGAAATTTTGGATTATTAGATAGTTACTTTGGTTGGTGTTACCTATTAAAGGAGATGATTGATCCAGAGGCTAGGGCATTTGGTTACACCTAGCCAAAGGCCCAAGGCCATATACATAGAATGGAAAGGTAATCAAGATGAAGAGATGAAACTGGAATGTCTTAAAAAGGATTATGTGTTTTGGATTATGTGTTTACCTGAATGTACTATGGATATTGAATGTTCTCTTACCTACTTGTACATTAGAAATGATTATGGGGTATGGGTAACAGAGAGCATGTAAGTCAGCCTTCAGCCAATACTTGATTGGATATGTTAAAAGGGGAAATAGAATTTTCCCAGAAGAAACACAAGCTTTTGTTTCAAACCCTGTGTGTAGAATATAGGGGGCTTTGGTAGAAAACCTGAGCCCCACCCAGAACTATTGAGAGAACAGAAGATTTGCATTTGAAGAAAGGACCTGAAAAAAGAGAGAGAGAGAGAGAGAGAGAGAGAGAGAGAGAGAGACTGTTTTTTTGAATTTCAAGCAAGGAGATAGGTTTTGGGCGCATGGAGGCAGGAAAGTCATGGTCCATGAGAGAAACCCCTTCTAGGACTGAAAGTTAAAGGAAACCAGGGAGTAGTAGGCTTGTATGCTACTTTCTTGTGACCACTTGGGTCCACTTGAGTGGAAATGGTGGAAAAGCAGCAATGAGGAAATGCGCTGAGGTTTTTACTCTTTGACCTAGGCCATGGAGGCTGGGAATGAGAGGAAGGGCTGGCTGGTCCAAAATGTAAGGAATTGTGAGCCTATGGGCATTGAAATAGTTCCCGAGGACTGAGGATGTAAGAGAAGGTGCTGGCTGGTCTGAAGTGAAGGGAAGAGTGTGACTCCCAAACTTTGCAGCTGGTACCCATGACCCAGCTGGGATGGCTAGGGCTGAGCTGACCAGAACCTGAGCAAACAAAGAGGAAGATGTTTGACACTGAGCTGGTGTTATGTTGCTGCAATGTGATGGTTTGTGCTGGGCTAGACTTTGCTTGTTTATGGATGCAGATGCCCAAAGTTTCCAAGCAGAACAGAAGATTCTTCAGTGAGAAAGGAACATGCTTGTCTTCTCACAGTACTGGTTTGATGTTGTTGTTGTTGTTATGTGTTGTCGAGTTGGTCCTGACACATAGTGACCCCTCCTTGGGTTTCCGAGGCAGTATCACTATGGAAGTAGATTGCCCAACCTTCCTTCCAAGGAGTGGCTGGTGGGTTTGAACCACCAGCCTTCTGGTTAGCAGGCAAGTGCATTAGGCACTATGCTACCAGAGCTCCCACTAGTTTGATAAGGATGGGCAAATTAGAAATTGGCTATCTAAAACTGGGGAAGATAAAGGCATGAAGTGGCTGGCTTACACACTTTCATGGCTGAGGTTATTCTTAAACTGATGGTGAAGGGGATGTTAATTTTTGAAGTATAAAAGGGA